GATATCTATTTCAAGTGCAGACAACATTTCGAATTCGTTTTAGTTATAAATATTTATTTATGAAGAGTCTATTTAATTAAAACTAGATGAAATAATGAAGCTCTAGTAACATAGAATTACCTTTAACATTAATAGTTTTATTGGTTTGAAATGATTCAGATGGAAGTTCACCCACTCTACATCTCCAGATACCATCATCTCTTTGTTTAGATACTGTATCAATATGTATAGTTAAACTAGTAGTTGTTTTAGATGCTGTATAGAATCTTCTATAGTCGGTGTAATTGTTTGATGGTCCAGGATTTAGGATATTACAGTCTTGTTCTCGTATAAAAACAAAACAGCTAGCTATATTACTATCATCACCAGATCGAGATACACTTATTGTATAAGCATTGTTATAAGAACAGGTAACACTACCAGATTCTCCATCAACTAGTTCATTAGGTTCAGTATTTATTATAACTTGACCTAGAATAGAAAGATAATATTATACAGTTACTGTCTATTACATTGTTATAATAACAGGTAATACTACCAGATTCTCCATCAACTAGTTCATTAGGTTCAGTATTTATTATAACTTGACCTAGAATAGAAAGAGAATATTATACAGTTACTGTCTATTACATTGTTATAATAACAGGTAATACTACCAGATTCTCCATCAACTAGTTCATTAGGTTCAGTATTTATTATAACTTGACCTAGAATAGAAAGATAATATTATACAGTTACTGTCTATTACATTGTTATAATAACAGGTAATACTACCAGATTCTCCATCAACCAGTTCATTAGGTTCAGTATTTATTATAACTTGACCTAGAATAGAAAGATAATATTATACAGCTACTGTCTATTACATTGTTATAAGAACAGGTAATACTACCAGATTCTCCATCAACTAGTTTATTAGGTTCAGTATTTATTATAACTTGACCTAGAATAGAAAGAGAATATTATACAGTTACTGTCTATTACATTGTTATAATAACAGGTAACACTACCAGATTCCCCATCAACCAGTTCATTAGGTTCAGTATTTATTATAACTTGACCTAGAATAGAAAGAATATTATACAGCTACTGTCTATTACATTGTTATAAGAACAGGTAATACTACCAGATTCTCCATCAACTAGTTCATTAGGTTCAGTATTTATTATAACTTGACCTAGAATAGAAAAGAGAATATTATACAGTTACTGTCTATTACATTGTTATAATAACCAGGTAACACTACCAGATCCCCATCAACCAGTCATAG